GTCTCACCGCAGTGCGCCTCAATGCGAGCCACGGCGACCACAAGTACTTCCAAGACGTGATGGACAATGTGCACCAGGTGGAGCGCGGTGTGTACAGACGGCGGCAGCTCCTCACGCGGCAGAGGCCCCCGGCCGTCCGCTCGCGATTGCCCTCGACACGGTACGTAGCGGCTGCATGCGGCCCCCGCGCGCATCCGCGCGCCGCCGTTACCCGCTCACGCATGCAGAAAGGGCCCGAAATGCGTACGGGCGCTATGGTTGACGGAGAAGACGTGCGTACAGTGCGCGGCGGCTCTTGCTCACGAGCAGCAAGAGGTGAAGGCGGGAAACGAGTTTTTCGTGACGACGAATCCTGCGTATGCGGACAAGAGCACATCCGAATACCTTTACATCGACTACGAACGCCTGCCGCAGAAGGTGCAGTCGGGACGCACCATCTACATTGACGACGGCATTCTCGCGCTCAAGGTGCTGTCGATTGACGGGCAGTATGTGCGTGTGCGCGCAATAAACGACGGAACGCTCTCCTCGCGCAAGGGCGTGAATCTGCCGCTCGCGGAGGTGGACCTGCCCGCGGTGTCCGTGAAGGACCGCGCCGACCTCGAGTTCGCCCGCGACCAGAACGTGGACATGATCTTTGCGTCGTTCATCCGGAACAAGGACGACATTGCGTCCATCCGCGAGATCCTCGGGGAGCAGGGAGCGCACATCCGCATTATTGCGAAGATCGAGAACCACCAGGGCCTGCTGAACTTTGACGAGATCCTCGAGGCCGCAGACGGGATTATGGTCGCGCGTGGGGACCTCGGCATTGAGATCCCCGCGCCGCAGGTGTTCATGGCGCAGAAGATGATGATCTCCCGCTGCAACATTGCGGGCAAGCCTGTGATCTGCGCGACGCAGATGCTCGAGAGCATGACGTTCCACAACCGTCCGACGCGCGCGGAGGTTTCCGACGTGGCGAACGCCGTCGTCGACGGTGCGGACTGCGTCATGCTCAGCGGCGAGACCGCCAAGGGCTCCTACCCCGTTGAGTCGGTCACGATGATGGCCGAGACCGCGTACATCGCCGAGCTCACGATTTCGTACCAGGCTCTCTTCAACGAGCTCCGCTCCCTCACGATTGTGCCGACGACGACCATCGAGACGATTTCCCTCGTCGCGGTCTCGGCGAGCCTCGAGCAGCAGGCCGGCGCGATCCTGCTCATGTCCACGTCGGGCACGACCGCACGCCTCGTCGCCAAGTACCGCCCCAAGTGTCCCATCCTCATGGGTGTGTCTGCCGCCGCGCCGCGCTCACACCAGTCACCCGCAATGCATACACAGCGCGCAGCTGCCATCTGTACCGCGGGACCTACCCCTTCCACTACCCCCTCCCGCATCCGGACAGCCCTGCGCACTGGCAGAACGACGTGGACAACCGCATCAAGTTCGGGCTCACGGAGGCGCTCAAGCTGCACATTCTCAAGAAGGGCGACACGGTTATTGCCGTGCAGGGGTGGCGTGGTGGTAGGGGCCACACCAACTCGCTGCGCATTGTGGTGCGTATTGGCTCAGCGTGTGCTGATAGCAGACGGTACCGACGCAGTCGGAGGGGTACATCATGGAGGACACGACGACCTCAAATTAGCGTGCGCGGAAGGCCACTGCTCCTGGCGCCGCGCACCGCGGCAGCTGGCCGCGCCGCGCGCTCGAGCGCGGCCCGCCATTGCCTTCCGACACAGGCGCCGCCCGTGTCAGCGGCCACTCAGCGCGCGCCTACATGTAGCACGCCACATCGACGAGTCGTGTTTGTTCAGACTATCGCCCGTGTCCGGTGTCCCTACATGACGCGACTCCCAGCCCATAGTGCACTCATATCTCCTTGTAGAACTCCATGTTGAAGTCCGTCGTCAGGTCCGCCGACTCAGCAAACATCTTCTGGAACTCTGGGTTGTTCTTATGTGCGTCGAGTCCGGCCTCGCTTTCGTACTCCTCTGCCGGTCAGCCAGCGCCGCCGCAGCACGCACCAAAGACAACAAACGTGAGCCCGTCCTGCGAGCGGACGACGCGGTACTGCGGTCAGCGCACTTCTGGCGCCACCCACCGTCTTGGTTTCCGGCTCCGCATCCGAGTTCGCGCGCTTGGCGAGCACCTGAAGCGACGCCGCGAGCTTCTCCGCCTCGCTGGGGCCCTTGGCCTTGATGCTGGCGGTGAGCACGCGCGTCGTGTCCACATACGTGGCGATGAGAATGAACGGTCCCTGGACAGCAGCCATGGATGGGGATGTGGTAGAGGGCGGGCGCCCGTCCCGCGGCCGTGCGCGCACCGAATGTCGGACCACGTGGCCCCACGTGGGCGAGTCCAACACCGAGACACGCGTTTTCCGCCGGTGGCGTTTCGTCGCCCGCCATGTCGGCGCTGTTTGACCTCCTCAGCTACGGGACGCCCGTCTCGCGTCGGCTGAATGAGACGTCACCACGGCGACACCGCAGTCTGTCGCCGTCGCCGGGTGGTCGTGTCGCGTGGCGGGACTCACAGCCGAGTTCGTCGCCGCACGCGGCGGTGGGCGTCGTGGATGTGTCCGAGGCGCTCGGCAGACCGGCGCTGCCCCGCGCCCTTCCTGCGGACCCTCTCCGCGAGGGGACCCCGCCGCCGCTTTTGGGTGCGGACCAGCCCGCGAGCCCCTCGCGTGCGCGTGCGCTGCGCGAGCGACGGCGGCAGCGCCGCGTCGCCGCGCATATGCCTTATGCCTACAGCATGTTCCCGTGCGCGACAGGGAGTGCGCGCAGCTGCCGTGTCGGAGAGACGCGCGCGGCCGCATGCATTGGCAGCGGTGGCGGTGCGCGGGAACGAGCCGCGCACGCGGACAGCCGCTCGTGCCGGCCGCGTGCCCGCGACGCACACACGAAAATACCCACGGACATGCCTCCTTCTCCCCATTCCCCGTCTGTCTCACACGCGCACTCTGGCGCCCGTTTCCCCGCGACGCCTGCTGATGTCTACACCGCGACGATACCGCGCACGCCGCGCTCCATTGAGCGCGTGCGCAGCGAGCCCACTGCGCACCGAGTGCTGGACGCTTTCTCTTTCGCGGAGCGCCCATCGGACCCGCCTCTGGACCCGCCGCGGGACGCCGCCATGGACCTTGGCGCGGACCCGCCCTCGGATGCTTTTCTCTGGCCGTCCTCGGATTCTCTGCCGTCTCCGCCGTCCCACCGCGCAGCCACGGAGCCGCCTGCGCAAGGGTCGGACGACAGCTTCTCGCGTCTCGACGAGGTGTTCGCGCTGGACGTGGGCGAGATGGAGAAGATGGCACGGTGTCAAGGCTGGTAGGCTTATATATATATTTGTATTTTATGGCAGGGCCGCAGCTCGTCGGCGCGGCCGCTTGGGCAGGGCGCTGTGTTCCACACTGCGCATCCCTCCTCTTTCCAGCAGCGATTTATACCGCTGGAAACCCCCCTTCGTAACATCTGCTTTCCTCTTGCATGTCGCCCCGGATAGCCGCTACACCCCCAGCCCCTCCCTCACCGCTGCGCCACGCGCCGCGTCGACACCGCGACGAAACAGCGCGAGGCGATCCTCCGGCAGGAGCGCCGCCTGCTCCTCCCCCAGCGCGACAAATGTCGACGGCACATGCACGTGGAAGTCGACGGGTACCGGGGCGGCGCCCTGCGCTGTGGCGCACTCTGCGAGGACTGCGGCAAGCTGATCGCACGCCTCCCTGTCGCGCGCGTTGAAGCCGGCGAGAATGCGGTCCACGTATGCGCCCCGGATAGGATCACGCGCTGCGCGCCCCGGCACATGCCAGCCGTACAAGTTGCTGATTGCCTCTTTCAGTTCATATCGGAACGCCTCGTGAGCACTCGCATGCGGCTGCCCGCGGTCTGTCCAGGCGCCACGGAGCTCCTGAGGCCAACCACCGGTGTACAGCGCGGAGGAGAGCCGTACGCGCTGCGCCTCGACAGCGTGTTCGCGCGACGTTCCCTTCGCGTCCTGGTTCTCGCTACGCCACGCAATGTCCAGACGCGCAAACGCGCCCACGCCAAGGGCGCCCAGGAGTGCGTGGGTAGGCGCACGAAGAGCATGTGGCCCACCGTTCCTGACGCCCACCTGCTGGAAAAACGGCTGCAGCCGGGAGGCGAAGATTTCCGCGGGGCGGTACGAAAATTTGCGCGTGTCGTAGCGCATGTGCGTCACACCGGGCGACCAGTCATCCGGACTGAGTGCATTGCCCATGCCGTGCTCCGCCGAGGCCGCCGTCTGCGCTGCATACGCGTGCAAAAATCCGCCGGGACGCAGACTGCCCGCACGCAGCGGCTCGAGGATGCCGATCGGCATCGGCAGCCCCGTGAGCTCGCTCTGCGGATCGACGCCCACAACGTGCAGATGCCGCAGGCGGCGACGGAGCCGCGGCGCATGCCGCTGCCACTCTCCGGGGTCCGAGCGCGAGGACGGCACCGTGTAGCTCCCAAATACGTCTCGCAGGAGCTCCTCGTTCCCGTCGAACACGAGCGTCAGTGTGTATGGAGAGACGCACTGCATGCTTCGCGCAAGCACTTGCAGCTCCGCGGCGCCCAGGGAGAGCACCTCGATGTTCACAAAGTAGGACAGCAACGCCGATGGCGGCATGGGAAGATCGCCCGCGCACCCGTCGAGGTACGTGAGCAGGTCCGTCCCCGGGTGCATGCTGGTGTCCACAAAGAGCGAGCATGTGCAGTGTGCGGGGGCGTCCCCGAGCGAGAGGGGCGTGGGCGACACCCCGCTGTGCGCATGGTGCACGGTCCGGAGGAGCGCGGCGAACGCGCGCGGCGTCGTCACGACCACCGAGCGCCAGCGCTCGCGGCGCGTCGACGTACATGCATAGCGCGACACATACGCGAGTGCGTGGGCGGTGCGCGCGTCATAGGCGGCTGCTGCGACGAAGATATCGCGCAGCAGCTCGTCCGGCAGCATGGAGGCAGGAGCACGGGTGCGCTCCTGATGTAGGCTCAACGGTGCCGATCGGTGATCGACGTGGCAGGGTAGCAAAGTGGTCTAATGCAGCGGCCTTAAGTTGTGCGAGCTTTTGCTCCGAGCCATCCGCCATTCGCGGGTTCGAACCCCGCCCTTGCCACATTTTTTTGAACGCTACGGGGGCACGAGCTGCATGGTGATGGCTGCGTACGCAGCGCTCTGCTGCAGGACGCAGTAGCCGCGCGTGGCAAGCTCGAGGACGTGGCGGACTGTGCACGTGAGCGGTGGGTGGCCGCGCGCGACGCACACGCCTGCGCCGCGACGCGCCGCCCTGTTGTCGCGGGCGGCACCAGTGCGCCAAGTTCCACGGATGCCTGTCTTCCGCTGGACTGCGCCACGAGGCGCAGGTAGCTGCTCGTCAGCGCCGCCCCGGGCTGCGCGCACAGAAGGAAGTCCCGCGTGTCCGCCGCCAGCGGCGCCTGCTGCGTGCCGTGTGGCGCGTCGCCGGCCACAGGGCTCGACACTGTGGTTGAGTCCGCTGCAGGCCGTGCGCACGTCGCGACGCATTGGCGTCCATTCCATCCATTCCTGGGGAACCGGGCCACGCGCTCTCGCCCCTGCGCCGCCGCAGCTGCGGCGTCGCACCCGCAGGGCTCCCTGCCGTAGTGCGTGCGTCGCTGATCGGCGAGCAGAGCCGCGGGCTGCGCTCGTCAGCTGCGCTGGCGCAGCCAGACGGACCGCTTTGCATCCCGCTGGCGCACCGCACTGTCCCAGGAGTCATCGGTTCCGGCCTGCCAGTTGACCGCCTGCTGCACAATGGCCGCGTTCGTACGCGCAAAAGTATCACTGAGGCGCGGCGTGCCGCCCGCGTTCATCGACGTGGAGACGTCCCAGTTCACTCCGAGATCATGCCACGGCACGATATCGTCTACGTCAAACGGATCGCTCGAGCGGTGGGCCGCCCGCCCCGTGCCTGGAAGCAGCTGCGGTGAGGGCCAGAAGGAGGCGAGAAAAAAGCGCCCGTGCTCACCTCATCGGACCGATGCACGTCGCCCTGCGCGCGTTGCTCAATTTCGTCCACGTTCGCATCCCACAGGGGCGCCTCTCCGCCCACAGTCTCGCGTCCCTTCCTCTCCCCCTGCTCCCCACCGCCGCCTCCCCTGCGCACGGACCCATCGAGCAGGGCAAAATACCGGCCTGCGGTAAGTTGTGGAGGCCTGCCTACCCACCGCGCAGCGAAATTTGCTCCTCGACTGTCGCGCGCCACAGCTGCACAAATGCGGTGCTGGACATGCGTGCTCGGCGTTAGCAGGCCCCGCGGCACGCACCCAGACGGTCACTGAGTGCGCGGGGGAGCTCGAGCGCGTGTGCGCGCCAGAAGCGGGTGCGCATCCGCGGCAACGCCGCACATACCCGCGTCCACTCTTCTGCAGAGTACCCGAGTCTGCGGTCGATCGGACATGCCTTGCCGCGCGTCCCTGCATGTGCGCCGACGTGCGGTTGCGGCTGCGGGTGCGATGCTGCGGACAGCAGTGCGGAGCGGAATTCGTGGACAGGGTTGATTCGCGTGCTGCTGGGTTGGCGTCGCAGCTGTGGCAGCGTACGAAATCAGTTCCGTGTGAGGCCATAATGCCACGGGAGACGGCCGCGTGCCCGTGTCCATCGTGACGAGTTCCTCAAGTCCCAAATCCAGTGCCGAATCTCCCGCCGTTGGCTGCCATGCCGCGTCGCAGATGGGCGGTAGATCCGCGACAGTGTCCGCGCGCGGCGCATGGAGCGGTGGAGACGAGTGGTCTGGCACCGGTAGCACATGGGGCGCATACACCCTACCGTTGGACGCAGGCGCATCTGCGCTCGAGTCCGCGCCACGTACAGGGCTCCCTGGAATGCCGTGGGGCGCCTGCTCCCATTGCGAGGCGACTGCGTAAGCGCCGTCGTCACGCGCCGTCCCGTCCGACGCGCCGTGCTGTCGAAACCACGGGAGCTGCGCGACGTGCGGCTCGTACGCCCACGACGCGATCTGCAGCGGCGGACACGCCAGTGTGATATCGCGCAGCGGCGGTTCTCGTACGCACTGCGTGGCGCCCTGCATGCTGTGCGCACTGGCGAGGTGGTCTCGCAGGAGCTTTTCCGTGCGCACGAGGTCCCTGTGGAAGGATGTGATCTGTATCCCTAGAATGCGCGAGGCGCCAAGGAGGAGCATGCTGCATTGGTACAGTGAGTGTCTCACACATGTAAGCCGTGCGACGATGCTACGGTTAGCGCGGTGGCGTGGGGACAGAAACACACCACACCTGCACAACGTCCACGTCGGCCATGTCGCGTGCGCGAATTTTGGCGAAGGGCGAGTGCGTCCCGAATGCGGCCGCAGTCCTGCGGGGTGAGACTGGGGAGAGGACGGAAGGGAGGGAGTCCTGCGGAAGTCGCCATGTGGGCCTGTGGCAGAGAGGAGAAAAGGGGGAAGCTCCCATACAAAGCGAAAGGTGGGCTTCCGCCAGAAGAAAAAAAAAAAAAAACGAAATCCCGGCTGCTCTCTCAACACGTACCATACGCAGCGCGCGCTGTTTCCCATAGCACACAATAGAGTGGCGCACAAGGGTATCTGCGTGGCGTTCCCCTTTTCTCCCTCTCCCAAGCCCCTTTACCCCCCCCCCGGCTCTCCCCCCCCGGACCGCATCCGCCGGAACACCCGAGGCACGCGCACGGACACCGCGCCGCGCGCGGCACCTGGACATGACCACGTGACGGAAGCGATTTGGGTCCGGGTTTGGCGGCGCGCCCGTCCTCGCAACTGCATGCTGCGAAGGGGCGTGCGGACAACCGGGTGGATCGTACGCACACGACTGTCCAGCATGGGTGCGCATGTATCGAATGCGGTGCCGGCCACGCGCTGGTATACCGCGCCGGGGCACGCGTCCGCGGCGGTGGACGTGTCCGCATGGACGCCGCCGGCGAAGGACGCCGTCCCGCCGCCGCGCGAGCGGCCGATTGAGGACATCCATTCGTATGCGAATGCAAACGACGTGTGCCCGCACACCATGCATCTCGACTGGACGCTCGACTGGGACCGGCAGCGCATCACGGGCACCGTGACACACGCGCTCGAGGTGCTCAAGGACGGCGCGGCCCACGTGACGCTCGACACGCGCTTCCTGGACATCGGTGAGGTCTGCGTCGACGGAGAGCCGGTGGAGGTAATGCGCGGGGATGTGAGCGCGGCACTCGGACAGCCGCTCACGATCCCGGTTGGCGCGCGTGCCACGCAAGACATCGTCAAGGTCGCGGTGTCCTATGCGACGACGGACAAGTGCACCGCCCTCGGCTGGCTCAGCAAAGAGTGCGTGCGGCGGCCGCGTGCGTCGGCTCACGGACAGACAGACACACGCGCGCACGAACCCGTTCCTGTACTCGCAGTGCCAGGCGATCCATGGACGCGCGCTTGTGCCGTGCATGGACACGCCGTCGCGCAAAGTGACATACACGGCGACGGTGCGCTCGCGGATCCCCATTCTCATGTCTGCGCTGCAGGACAACGCGCCGCGGGAGGCTGACGGCGTGCACGAGTACGCGTTCAGGCAGCCCGTCGCGATCCCTACGTATCTCGTCGCGGTCGTCGGTGGCGACCTGGCGTTCCGTGCGCTCGGCGCGCGTACGGGCATCTGGGCAGAGCCGCCGGACGCGGACGCGGTGCAGTGGGAGTTTGAGGCCGATGCGGAGCGGTTCCTGGAGCAGGCGGAGAAGCTTGTGTCGCCGTACGCATGGACGCGGTACGACAGCGTCGTGCTCCCACCCTCGTTTCCGTACGGGGGCATGGAGAACGCAAACCTGACGACGCTCACACCGAGCCTCGTGAGCGGCGACCGGAGCTCGACGGATGTGCTGCTGCACGAGCTGTGCCACTCGTGGAGCGGGAACCTAACGTCCTGCGTGAACTGGGAGTCGTTCTGGCTGAACGAAGGCTGGACCGTGTACCTGGAGCGCCTCCTCCTGCAGATGGTGCATGCGGACGACAACGGCCCGGCGCACCGTGGCTTTTCGTACATCATCGGCGCGAAGGCGCTCCGCGGCTCGCTCGAGGGCTTCGAGAAGACGCCGCGTTTCCAGCGCCTCATCCCGCGGTACGTGCCCGGCGAGGACCCGGACGATGCGTTCAGTTCCATCCCGTACGAAAAAGGCTCCAACTTCCTCCTACACCTTGAGCGTGTCGTGGGCGGCCTCGACGTGTTCATCCCATATGTGCGCGCGTATTTCCACACGTTCGCGAACCGGTCGATCGGCACGGACGAATGGCGCGAGCACCTGTTCGCATTCTACTCGGGTAGCCCCGAGATCACCGAGCGCCTGCACGCCGTCGACTGGGATGCGTGGCTCCATGGCGAGGGCGTCGAGCTCCCCGTGCCGATGGCGTACGACACGACGCTCGCCGAGTCCGCCTTCGCGCTCGCCGACCGCTGGACGGAGGTCATCATGCATGCCAAGTCCCGCGCCGACGCTCCACAGCATTTTGCCAGGAGCGACATCGACGGATGGAATGCCAACCAGGTGGTCGTCTTCCTCGAGCGCCTCCAGGACGGGGGGAAGGCTCCGCCCTTTGTCACGCAGTGGCTCGACGACGTGTACGCATTGAATCAAGCGCCCAACACGGAGGTCCGTCTGCGTTTCTTGGAGTTTGCGCTGCTCGACAAGGAGAGTGGATATGCGGATGAGGCCGCCAACTGGGTGCGTTATCTTGGCTCTCTTTGCATGTCGTGCTTTCTTGCCGGCTTTTTTGCCCCCCATTCCCTTTGTCTGTGCCCTCCGCTTCTTGCCTCTGATTGCTGGCCTCTGGTGTCTCGGCGCCGGGTTCTCGCGTCTTTCTTGCTCTCTGCCCTCTTCCCTGTGCCTCACCTTTATTCCTGTCACTGATTTTGTCCATGTCCTTTCCCCTTCCCGTTCACAACCCCTATTCCTCCCCTTTTCTCCTTCGCTCCCCTTCACCCCTCTTCCCCCCTAACACCCACAGGTCAAAACGCAGGGCCGCATGAAGTACTGCCGCACAATCTTCAAGGCCCTGTACATGGTGGAGCCAGAACTCGCGCGCCGCACGTTCGAGGAGAACCGCTCGTTTTGTACGTGCGGTCGGAGAGCAGGGACACTGACCTCGAGACCATCCCATTGCCG